TCTCATATGGAATCCCTATTGCGCAATGTTTGTGTTCCACCGCTTACGTCACGACAGATGGCTATTGTTTCACCGGAAGTGGATTTTTTCTCGTAAAAGCTGTTTTTCTCCTTAACGAAACCCAAACGAGCAAGATAAATGCCAAATTCGTTTTGTACGTTGCTGTTTGCGTCGAATAAGAAAAACTTGTATTTTTGGGTTTACATGCCCTTTAAATGTCTGAATTTTCACACGTCAAGTATAACACCTGAGGAATGACGACCAAGGCAAAGTCTAGTTGCTTGAAAAAACCAACAAAACAAAACAAACAAACGACAACAACAAAAAAACAGTAGTAATAGAAATAAAAATAAAAAATCAAATAGACCAATTTCGATATATTAAAATAAACCCCACAAACTCTGTAGTTATTCCCCAGAGCCTCGCACTGAGGATTATTGTTTTAGACTGAATTTTAATATACATGTATCGAAATTGGTCTATTCCCAACCCACGTTGTTGTTTTGTAAAGAACAGCAAAGAAATGTACCATAGTCTATAACGCTCGTGAACAGTCATTGTAATGCCCATTAAACCCTTTTCGCCGCCTTACTTAAACCTGATTCAGTCTTTATATAGCGGAAATCCCAAATTGAAGGTCCTAGAAACTAAATTAAAAACAGGAGTTCCCTTTCAAGTAACATGATCAGTTTTTGTCTGAACTTAATTGAATAAGGAGAGGTGTCAAGGAAATACTTGTCATATTTTATTGTCTTTCATGAGCACATAAACCATGTTTTATAAAAACTTGTCATGAACAATCTCTCTAATGTAACTGGCATGAACTCTTCGTTTTGCATTAGTACTTCAATATATTAAAATCAAGTTCTAGACTGAGAATTTTTTTTTAAATAAATTAAATCTGCGACCTTTGCGGCCACTCCGAAATTTTCATGCAATCTGCGAGACATATGTCGCCTACAAACTGCAGACGAAGGAAAAATAAAGGCAAATGGTAACACCATTACCTTCACTTTTGGTTTTTCCGTTGTCTTTTCTGCATACAATTAAGTTTATTTCTAATTTTTTTTTAGTTGCCAGTAACTTTTTACCTTTGTTTCTGATTTTGTCTTTTATGATGTATGGCGAGTTTTATCATAGGATTCTTTCACCTTTTTGTGTGTGCTAACAGTACTCAAAATAATAAAACACTCCTACAATGTAAACTCTAGTTCAGTGTGTTGCTGCCGTAAGACGGGTGAACCAGAAACGATACCGCTTGCTTCAAGGCAACTTGGTATGAATCGATGTAAAATTTTTAGAAGAACGTCCGGTGCAAAGCGGTGAGGTCTATTAATTAATGCTGATTTTTTTTTTTATATATAGTTTCAGGGATATTTTTGATCCAAAAGCATAACAAAACTTATACTTATGGTTGGCCTACAAAGGTGTACGATTCTCTACAATATAGGACGGGGAAGAAGCGATGAATGATATGCCTGGTGTCAGCCACGAAGGAAAACAGAAAGATTTCATTCGGAGCCTTATTCAAATACATTTTTGTCAGTAACTTTTTTCTTCCTTTCAAAATGTGTTTGTTTAAACATTTTGCTAAGTAGCACATCCCGCTGTAAAAAGCGTGCTAAATTTGCATAACCAGCCTAAAATGTGACGAACAGGCTATGACATTTAATAATTTTCCCCCTCGAAAATAGATATTTGATCAATTTATTTTGGAACCTTCTACTTGTCTTTTTGCTCCTGCTCGGGTCTGCACACGAAGAGAAACATACATTCTTTTTTTACAAGAATATATTTCATAAGAATGTCGAGGTCGAAATTTGCGAAATTTTAGCAACATTTGAAGAATGAACCCAAGACTGGCAATTTTGAGAACATAACTTTGTGCGTTGAAAAAGAAACTAGCCAAAAAAACAACAAACAGTGCAAGCCGTATGGTCGATGCCAATACCATTTCTTCAAGACGTTATTTGTGCCGTATCAGGCTTTATTGCCAACAGTCTGCATGGCCCTACACTTCAACTAAGACTATTCACAAGAATATTTTCAGCCGAAAATTGGCAGAAAAAAATAATATTCAACCCGGGCCGGAAAAAAAAAAACGATATTTTTATTTTAAAAATAGTGTATGCATGGTTACCGTCTCCGCCATTATTATTTCACTGGGAAATCAATAAATCAAAAAAACTTTTTTACAGTCTTCTAGTCGGCGATCGGACTCACTAATTGGGGACATTGTAAATGTTCTGCTTTACGAAAAAAAGAGCTAAGGAAATCTCTCACGCGTTGCTTGGAATCCTAACTGTAAACTGCATGGCTAAAGAGGTAAAAATAATGTAAATATAAAGCTGTTTACGCTGATGGTTCGAGTGTGCTCACTGTAAAGATAGCGGATGACAGGTCGACAGTAATTTCTTTTCAAAAAGTTAGCAAACAACTAAGGGAGCTCCAACTCGGTTACCAATCCGGAGACACCATATGTGGCAGTTTCAAAGTGAGCGACTTAATTCCATCAGCTGCACCATCTGAAATTTACACTGGGAGCGGTTTAAGCTCTCGGTGCGGTCAGCCAAATAAATCTTCAACATGAATTTCACCAGTACAAGTCAACTGAACTGCGCGTTTCTCGATGTGAACTTGGAACAAACGGAGGGTACATTTATCGCCAGCATTCTCACTTGCATTCTTAATGTAGTGTTTTCTTTGTTTACATCCACCGGTAATCTAATTATTGTACATGTCATCTGGAAAACAACGGAACTTCATTCGCCATCTTTCGTCCTCCTGTTTTGTCTCGCAACTTCTGATCTCGTTGTTGGACTGATTTGTCAGCCATTTTTCGTGGCCTTTCATATTGCGGAACTCATGGACAACTTTAACGTTTACTGTGTCCTGAGAATTATTCAGAGCATATCTAGCTATACCACGACTGGTGTGTCTTTGGCGATTTTAAGCGGAATCTCCATTGATCGACTTCTCGCTTTAACCCTTCATTTAAGATACAACATGGTTGTTACAGTTCGCAGAATAACACTAACTGCTTGTAGTGTTTGGATAGTATCAACTACAGTCGTCATATCGAGGTTTTGGATAAGCAACTGGATTTTTGTTCCGGCGTTAGTTTTATTGTTAACATTTCTTGTTACAGCCCTCAGCACCGGGAAGGTATTCCAGATCGTTCGCAGACATCAGCGGGAGATTTCCCAGCAACAGCAAAGCATTCAAAGAAGCACAGTAAACGACCTCAAGTGTAAAAAGTCTTCCATAACTGTGTTGTATATTTATGGTTTGTTTTTAATTTTCTATCTTCCACTTCTGTTGACAATCCTCGTGAAGACCTTTTCTGGGTACACAACAAAAGTGAAAATCGCCTATGACTACGTGACAACTGCTGTTTTCATTAACTCCTTTTTAAATCCACTTGTGTACTGCTGGAGAATTGGAGAGATACGACGAGCTGTGAAGAATGCTCTTAGAAAAAATCTTAACGAGGTCATCATCGGCGAAACCACATTCAGATCAGAGACAAGGTTATGATTCCAGTTATGGGAGCAAATTTATCACCTTTGTCTTTGGCTTGTGTTCAGAGTAGTTTATATTTACACGTATATTTTCAATTCTTGCTCATGTGATCGGCTTTCGGGTCGAAGCTTATATGTCCTTTTCTTTCCTGTGTATCCAGTATTGATCCTCTAATTTCACCGGCTAAGCATCTCGATAAAAAGGGCTAACGTTTTAAAATTTTTATTTTTATAACATTTTATTGTACACTTATTACAGTGCACTTTGTTGCATCGCAAGGAGAGGGAACTTATAATCAGAATTTTTATCACCCTTTTTTCTCCACAAGTTCCGCCATGACCACAGGATGTGTTTAACATCACTTTACTTGCTTTGATTGTGACGCGTCTTGCCGTCAACACGAAAAGGATGACAACGTTTGCCTAAGTAAGTTTCGAGAAAAATGTAAACATAGTTTCCTCTCTAATTTGATAGCGAATGCCGCCAAACCAATATTATGGTTTTAAAGTTGATGGGTATCAAGTAACATCTGAGAGCTAAGAGCTTTTACATTACTCTGTTTTCCATGAATCTCACATTGACAAATTTGTTCTTTCAAATAAGAATTATAATTTCAATTTGCATTGTTAAAATTAGACAAGCATCTTTCATTAATTTCCTGCAGATAGTTGCAGACGCTCGGCTCAGGTAGAAATTAGTTGACATATACAGTACTTGTAAGGGAAGTTTGTGGCCTCATGTGAAGTGCGCTGGGCTATGCCAGATTAGAGCCCTGGCCTCGGTCATTGAATTGTGTTCCTGGACAAGACAGCTTTTCTACCATAGTACCTCGTAGCTTCCCACTCCGGAGGTATAAATTTAATGCTGCACTGTCAGTAATCCCGCATTGGCCTAGAACACATCTGGGCTAGGGCTGAGGAGAGGGATAGGGGTGGAAAACACAAATACTCCTAGTCGGCTCATACTACGGAAACGGGAATAGGCGCCGGCCTGGGCTCGAACGCAGTCTTAACTTTTATCTTGCGGAGTACTTGAGTCTAAGATTTCTTTATCTGCACTAATTTCTGAGATCAAGGCAGTGCGTCAAATTATACGGCTTTACAGTAAGTTACTCTTAGAGTATTACACTGATTGAACATGCACACTGACAAGTAGTGTAATGATAAAGCTGGTTAATTTGGAGACTGATTTTGAAAGAGGTTGATGTTCAGCCAGGAAACCCCACCCCNCCCCCCCCCCCGCAAAAAAAGTCCGGCATAAACTAAATCAACGTCAATATATAAAAGAAGGTTTTCTTCTCATAAGCTAAAGATCTAATAAAACAAGGCTACACAAGAAGAAAATATTTAATAAAACAAAATAAAATACAGTTTTAGCAAATTTGCAAAATGAGTTCCTGAGTTTTGTCAGTGATAAGTTGTTAGTTGACGTTGTGCTATTTAGTTTTCTAACTCTCCCTTAGCTGTGTAATGCATTTTAGTTTACTCACATTCCCTTATTTCTAGCCACTTATGTTATTCGCTGCCAAAGACGGGTTCTTTCGTTATTCCTGATATTATTAATGTTTTGTTGATCTTCGCTAACAAAAATCAAAATAACAAATGTCAGTTGACGTTGGTTTATTTAGATTTTCGTTAACTCACTCTGGGTGATGGTCTTAATATGTCTTTCTTGAACCTCGGTATTAATAAGATTGCCGCACTTGTTTAGCCGTCTTTTTATTGTCATCGGTAATTACGTTTTGGCAAATGTTGACAAAATTTTTTAAAGAAGACGAACACCATTTTTTCATGTTTAATTAAATTCACCCTCACGCAACCAAATAAGATTATCCACACTCAGATAGGCTAATACCGGATAAAATTGTCGGTTTGATATTTCCGAAGATCTCAGATAAAAAAAAGAGATAGAGTTTAAGGAAGAAGTGGAGGAAACACGTTTTTTTTTAGCCAGTAACTACGTTGCAAAGGCAAAAGAAAAACACCCACCCTGATCGTGATCGATGGAATCCTACATGTAATCAATGGGCAGTCGTAATGGAGCACCGGTCATTAGTTTTGAAGAAGGTATTTACATTGGCAATTTTAAAGTCTTTTCTCTATTTGTAATAATAAAAGGCGTTTTAAAAGCGGAATATTTGTTTTGTTACCACCCTCTCCAAATTATCAGTTTTATCCGGGCTAGGGCCGAGGAAAGGGGTTGGGGGGTGGAGAACAGAAATACTCCTAGTCGGCTCATGCCACGGAAACCGGATAAGCACCGGCCTGGCCACGAAACGCAGTCTTAATTGAACTTTTATCATCTAGAGTACTTGAGCCTAATATTTCTATATCTGCTCCATTATCTGAGATCAAGGCAATGCCTTAAATTATACGGCTCTAGAGTGACTCACTCTTGGAGTATTACACTGATTGAACATGCACACTGGCAAGTAGTGTGATGATAAAGCTGGTTAATTTCAGGACTGATTTTGAAAGAGGTTGCAATCTCGTTCCCAGAGCCCACGTGTCTTTTAGTCAGCGCCAAGACACGGAGCTATGGAATAATCAATTTCCAGACTCCAAGATTTTAGGAGTTCCGGTTTCACGGCGCATGCGTGCCTTGGTTTAAAACATGACAATCTCTTTCCCAGAGCCCACGTGTGTTTTGGTTGGCGCCAACCAAAAGACACGTGGGCTCTGGGAACGAAATTGCCATGTTTTAAACCAAGGTACGCATGCGCCGTGAAACCGGAACTCCTAAAATCTTGGAGTCTGGAAATTGATTATTCCAGAGCTCCGTATCTTAGCGCTGACCAAAAGACACGTGGGCTCTGGGAACGAGATTGAAGAGGTTGATGTTCAGCTATGTTCCTGACCAAACGAGTAAAAAGAAATTTCAATTTAACTGGCTTATTAACTTATTTGGCGGGTAAAATTTGCGATTGCCACAAGGTAGAACTGTCGGGCCTATTAAGCCTCCAACCCTTTCCAGGAAACACCCCCCCCCCCCCCCAAAAGTCCGGCTTTAACTAAGTCAACCTCAGTATAAAGGAGTTTTATTTTTAACTTATAGTGCACCTAACCCCCAATTTTTTTTTTCGCTAAAACGAATCTACATATTATTTGAAATACTTCTGCGAGGAAATTTTTGGATTCGGTTAAATTCTTGATTTTCTGTGCCCCGACGAAATCTCGAAAATAGCCCTAAAACACCGCCATTTTGTTTCACGACCGAGTTTGAGGAGAATGGGTCCAGCGGCTGTTGTGACGTCTACCGAGGAAGGCCGAATATCTCATGTCCTCTCATTTCCTTCAGGATGGTGTAATGCACATTCGAAAGGTGCGCAGAAATACCCTCCAGAAGTGCTATCGGCTGTTGCAGCAATATCCCAGATCTAAGAAAAGATATACAGTACAATTTACTGGCGATGATCGTTCAATGATACAATAAAGACATAACGATGGTTGATTTTGTCGAACCGAAACAAGCGAACTGAGTCTGTGAGAGCCATTGAAGAACTCTCACTGGCGTAAATACTCTTTTTCTTTGGCCATCTTAGCTTGATAAGAAATAACACGCAAACTGCGGTGATAAACATGACAATAAAACGCATGTTAAAAAACAACTAAATTTAGTTGTTACTTCTATTCCTAACGGTCACTTCTCAAGATGTAGGTTGAAACATACGAAACGTCAAGTAAATGAACTTTGTTTTTTAACATGCGTTTTCTTGTCATGTTTATCACCGCAGTTTGCGTGTTATTTCTTATCAAACTTTCACTGGAATTTGTTCCACAGACTTTCGAACGCTATTTTCAAAATTTTCTGCTTAAAGCCAACCAGCAATTTGTCGAAATACTACTAACAACCTATACTCTTCCAGTCCCGCAGTATTTATAACATAGCGCCGGCAAAGTTGTGTGATCAATCAAGAAGCGTTACGACCAAATATAGGGATGTGTAACTAGGTCGCAACTGTACGCCGCCAACAAGCACTTATTTCTCTTTCGATTCAGATAAAAGTCGAAGATTAATCCTTTAGAATTACATGATAACAAAATTGTTACACTCACAGAGTTTTTCGAAGGTTTGGAAATCAGCAGTGCGACAAACATTCTATACATTAGTGTCGAAAATATGACCGCGTAACATTATCTGCGGACCGCTTAGGGAACACATCCTTTTCGCTTATCCGACGAATTTTACTGCAAAGTTTGAAAAAAATTTACACTGGTTATTTGGAGTTACGACTTGAAACGTGTGGCAATGTGAAATCGGTAATTGTATGAAATGTTTCCTTCCGCCTTGCTTCCCGTAGCTTCAAAAATACAGGTCCAAACAATTCTACGATTTYCAATCGATCGAAGCCAGTGTTTTGGAGGTCATCAAGTCTCGAAAACTGCAACACTTACGTCGCTCTTATAAACATGAAGCATTCCAGAAAGTAAAACACAAACTGGATTTAATAGAACAACCATACCTTGACAAAATACATTCTCGCTAAGGACAAATGTAAACGGGCTATAAACACGCGTGGAAGTCTAGTGTTTAGGTGACAAAATTACTATCCAAAGCAATCCTTGAGTTTTCTTTCCTGCTTTTCGTTTGCCTGTTCCTCCACTTCGTATCTAGCTTTCCATTCCTAATTTACAAGCCGCTCGTCCGCAAAGAAGTCTTCCCCGTCGTCGCTTGAAATACTGCAAATTGTTCTCAAAGCTCTAAGCAGTGAGTTCACAGTTGTCGAACGGGCTCGATCGAAGTTTATTTCGGTGTCATCCGAATCGAAACCTAACTCTGACTCCAGCGACGAAAAAGAAATGATTGTGAAACAAAACTTGAACGTTTTAGTTCCAAAATATATTGGAACGATTAGTTTTGTTTTCCATTTTCTAGAGCAAATGCAGAGAGCTGACTGAGGCGCCATTGTGTTTGGTTCCTGGGTAGACGTCGTCAGCAACCGCCGCCTCAGACTCGCTAAAACGCGGTCGTGTAACACTTCAAGCGCGACTTTGAAAGGGCATAGAAAATCGAGGATTCAACCAAATTCAAAAAAAAAAAGCGAAAAAAAAAAATTGGGGGTTAGGTGCACTTTAAGATCTAACAAACAAGGCTACACGAGGAGGGGAGGTAAATACAACGCAGTATGAGTACAAGTAAATTTGAATAATAATTTGTACATTTTTCAAAATGAAAACTCTCACAAATTGTTTTGTCGGATTTCTTCGTCGAAAAATTTTATAATTTCGAACGAAGGAAAATATTTATTAAAACAAAATGAAATACAATTTTAGCAAATTTGCGAAAGCAGTTCCTGGCTTTTGTCAATGCTAAGTTGTTAGTTAACTGCTATTTAGTTTTCTAACTCTCCCTTGGCTGTGTGTAATGCGTTTTATGTTACGCACATTCGCTTATTTCTAGCCACTTATGTTATTTGCTGCCCAAAGAAAGGTTCTTCCGTCATTTCTGATATTATCAGTTTATTGATCTTCGCTAAAATCAAAATGACAAATGTCAGTTGACGTTGGTTTATTTAGATTTTCGTTAACTTACTCTGGGTGATGGTCTTAATATGCCTTTCTTGAACCTCGGTATTAATAAGATTGCCGCACTTGTTTAGCCGTCTTTTTATTGTCATCGGTAATTACGTTTTGGCAAATTTTGACAACATTTTTTGTAGGAGACAACCACCATTGTTCATGTTTAATTAAATTCACCCTCACGCAACCAAATAAAATCATGCAAACTGAGATAAGCTAATACCGGATAAAATTGTCGATTTGATTTTTTCGAAGATCTCAGATAAAAAAAAAGATAGAGTTTAAGGAAGAAGTGGAGGAAACACGTTTCTGTGGTCAGTAACAATGTTGGTAAGCCGAAAGAAAAACACCCAACCTAATCGTGATCGATGGAAACCTATTTGTAATCAATGGACAGTCTTAATAGAGCACCGGTCATTGGTTTTGAAGAAGCCTGCGCGGTGGAAGGTATTTATATTGACAATTTTAAAATCTTCTCTTTATTTGAAGTAATAGAAGATGTTTTAAAAGCGAAAAATTGTTTCATGATCACCCTCTCCAATTTATCAGTTTTGTCTCTATCACAGCAGATTTATTAACATGGAGATTGACCCAGTTTGATTTCTATCGAAAAAACTAAACTTGCAAGTTTGGATCTTTTGTGCTTCTTTTAACTTACAAGTAAAGCACCTTTTTATAGAAAGGTTTACTTTGAAAAAGTCACAAATGTACACGGTGTGAACTTGCGTA